AGCTATATATAATGAATAAATATCAAAAGCAACAAGTGATTATAACCCATTTGTTCTAGTTTGATGACGGTGGTGGTGGTGGCTGCTTATGGTTTGTGGCTGAGGATCTTTGTCTTTGCTAACTTTTCTCACTTTTTCAAATTTTTGTTATTCCAAAAAACTCTCTTGCATGATWTCAGAACATGTACTTGCTCTTTTTAACCCAGAAATAACCAGATTTGATTTTTGATCTGTAATGAAAATAAAGAAACGCACATATAAATGGTGGATTCGAGTACTCGATAGGTCCCGACGATTACCCAAGGCCAATGTTTTAAAAGAATTTTGAGGCTYGTGTGAGTATTGAAGTTTGATATGTTTTAAAGGACTTTTGTGGCCCATGTCAGTATTGAAGTTTGAAGCTTGTCTCTTGAGATGAGATGTGTTTGGAGATGTTGATGTTTATACGAAGATTTTGTTTCTTGTTTTTTCACTTCTARTTTTATTAACAAATCTAAACATTCGACAACTATTTATGTTTCTTGTTTCTCATTTTTAGAAATATTTTCAAAATTGTATATAAATTTTAGAAATGACAAAAGTAAGGGTTCGTTTGGTAACGTTCTCGTTTCTTGTTTCTGTTTCTTTATTTTTAATGAAGATAAATGTATTGCATGGTTCCAACCTCTAAGAATTGAGGTACGATAAAGCAAATTTTTTTTTTATTTATGTTTTAGAACAAATTGAAAATAGGAACAAGAAAGGATAAAGTAGTTTTGGTTGTTTACAAAATTTCTATACAATTGTGAGAATGTTCCCAAAAAATAAGAAACAAGAAACAAAGTTAGTTGAAAAATACTTAGATTTCTTAAGAAAATTAGAAACGAGAAACAAGAAACGAGAATGTTACCAAACGAGCCCTAAGTTTTTCCTGTTTCTGGTTCTCATTTCCAAATTATTTGTTCCCACGTAAATAAAAATCTTGTTTTATCATTGTTGTGCAAAATACACCAATAACCATTATTTCTTATAATTGACAATATTAATCAATCATCCAAATAATCTACCAAGCAATATTAAGAAGACGACTACACAATTTATAATGGTTCCACCAGTGTGGTCTATATCCACTATGCAAGGTGAGGGCAAACTTATATTAGCTTCAATATCCKMAAACAATATAAACGGAAGGAGGGAGAATAATCAAACTCAAAYTCTCAGGCAGAAAAATAACCCAACGAAGAAGATGAAGATAACGGTACGAAAAATACAAGGAGAAAGAAACCAACTTTTAAACTCCTTGTTCCGAACGCTTCAAAGAGAAGCTTGCAAAATCCCAAAATTATTCCTCTCACCTTCGACTGCTGTCCCCAAATTGTGCAACAAAATTCTGCTCCTCTTTGTTATCAATCTCACCGTACAAAAACAAGGGTTTTAAAAGTAGTTAAAACTACACATGGCTTCACTCACAATTAAACCCAGCCACATKTGGCTTTACACAAATAAGCCCACCCAAAGAACGGAGTAATGTACTTGAGTCACAAACAACAACAATCATTATTGCATCCATGAATGTTAGGGTCCTAGAATTCAATTTTTCTTTATTAAAAAAAGAACGAAATAGGAACAAGAAACGAAAACGTTACTAAATAAGCTTTTAATATCTTAAGATGATTGTTGTTATCTTATTTTAGTAGAATCATTTGTATTTGTGTTTTAGATTTGTGCATAGAAATTAAATGGTTTTAATAAAATAATTGAAATTAAATGGTTTTAATAAAATAATTGTGGGTTTTAGATTAAAAAAACAAAGAAGTTTTCATGTTCAATGACCCCATATTAATCTAAAATTTTGTATTAGGTTATTTTAAAGTAAATAAGTAATATATATTATACTGATTGATCGATTGTTTTTTTTTGAAGCAAACGTAGCTCAATATAATTGAATGCATCTTGGTTAGATCCAAAGGGAGATTGAATGCATCTTGATAAATGACCATGCATCTTGATAAATGACCACTGGTACTTAAAAAGAAAAAAGCAACTAAATTAATATAAATAGTTAAATGTCAACATGAGCTTAGCTCAACTGATTAAGACAAGTATGATCGATCAAAAGGTCGTGTGCTCAAACTCTCATTCTCAAATTTATATTTAAAAAAGAAACTTTGCATKGGGGTTTTTGATTTTAACGGTCGTCACTACRGGTTTGCGAYACAAAACGACCGACTTTATTCTCGAGAGGAGAAAAATAGAGTCACCACCCGTCTTTATTTATAGGGTGTGACTTGCAACCCAAATGTATGGATAAGTTGATAGACATAAAAAGATATGAGTCGAGGGTCTTTTGCGTATGGGAAGGTATTAGCACCTCACAAAACTTGTTAACGATATTTTGTTTTCTCATATTATTTTTAAAAAAATGTCTTTCAAAAAATAAAATTTTGTTTCTATTTTCAAATTTTTCATGTTTTATTGATATGTAAATAATGAGCCCTAAGTATGAGTGATTTAGAGCCATTAAAAAAATTTAATTATTTGAATTTAATTTGCGGTCCCAAAATAGATTCCTACCTAGCCTCCTGAATTCTCATTTCTGTCATATGATTTTCTTTTAAATATTAAAGAAAAAGGTTTGGTCGGTTAAATTTGCCTTYTAAAAATTTAAACTTTTTGCTTGTGATAAAATGTCTTTCTATAGAAATGTAATTTTTCCTAAAAGACTTAGTTTTTAAAATTTCTTYGCAAGAGAAATTCTTTTTTGAAGAAAAGATATTTATTTGCTTAAGATAATTTTTGTTACGGCAAAGATGCAAACAATTTTATAATAATATTTTAATTACTTTTTCAAACCAAACATGGAGATAAATGAAGTAAGACTAGAAAATACACAATTCTAGGAAACATACTAAAATTCAAATCTTAGTCTACGAGATATTGATTTTTCCCTCAAGAATCTAAGAATATCACGCTCCCAAATATTTCAAGGTTCTATCGTCAGGAAGCTTCCTTTTGGAAAATTAAGTTAAAAATCTTTGATAATATTGAGATACTTATAAATGAATTAAATTTACTGAATCCATCAACTTAAACCATTGGGTTGAGTGATGGTTTATTCATCATTAACAGATAAAAATGTAAAAATCTCCACCAAACAATATCACAATGAAATTGACATAATATATACACATTTGTCAAAGATTATGTGTATAATATAGATAAGTATGTTAGAAAATTAAATCAATCAAATATCATGTTACAAGAAACAATAATATAAAATTAACAATGAGAATTGTTTGAGGATAAAAATATCGTGGACACGTGGAGGACGTTCAGTGGTGTTTAGAAATAAAAGAATATTCCATGTCCACTTCGAACYTGCCGAGGAGACCCAATTTGTCCATATGCAAGGCTGAGTGTAAAGGCCAGGGTTCGATCTGAATGGGTTCGATCTGCTCAACCCCGACAGGTTCGACATGACAAAAGACAGGGATAATCGCCGGTCGTGAGTGCTGTCGGACCCACTACCTATAAATAGAGGGTCTCATCTCACGCTCAAGTATCGAATCTCACCTCGAACTTAATATTGAGTCCGACCTATACTGACTTGATCGTCGGAGAGTTTGCCCTCTTGTGCAG